CAATCGTGAAGAGCAGATTGATAAACGACTACTACTGGCCAATGTGCTTCAAAGACTCTGAGTACTGGGTACGCTCGTGCAATGTCTGCCAAAGGACGGGTCGACCAAATGAGAAGGTCAATTCACCTTTAGTTCAAGTACCCATAATTGGTGAACCATTCCGTAAGTTGGTGGTAGACATTGTTGGCTCGTCGCCAACTGCAGCAGGAAACAAGTACCTGTTGACGCTACTTTGTCCTGCAACAAAGTTCCCGGAAGCAGTCATTTTATCCGAGCCAAGCTCTACGGCAGTCTTTAACGCGCTGCTCGGCGTCTTTTCGAGAGTCGGATTACCAAGCGAAATCCAATGTGATAAGGGTTCGGTCTTTACCAGTGCGCTGACCACAACCTTCTTGGAGAAATGTGGCATAGCCATCCACCACAGCCCCGTGTACCATCCGCAGAGCTATTCTGTGGAGAAGTTTCACTCGGTAATGAAGCGCATTTTGCGTGCGCTTTGTTACGAAAAGAAAGCGGATTGGGACACAGCTGTTCCGGCAATGCTTTTCGCATTGCGCTCTGTCAGCCACGAGGCGACTGGATTTACTCCAGCAGAATTGGTTTACCGGCGCGCACTGAGATTTCCGTTAACCTTGTTGAAGGACAAGTGGGAAGACACATTCGTCGACAAGGGGATCGTCGAGTATGTGCTCACCCTGTTGAAGCGCTTGCGCGAATCGCAGGAATTAGTCGAGCTGGACATGACACAAGCCCAGCAGCGTGCAAAAAAGTACTACAACAGGAACGCTCGGAAACGAACGTTTAAGGAAGGTGACAAAGTACTGATTCTTAAGACTTCAAAGGCAAAGAAGCTTGAAGTAGCATGGGATGGTCCGGTGGTGGTGCAACGAAAGATTTCAAACACTAACTACTTGTTGACGTCTCCGGGCAAACTGAATGATGTAATCATTTATCACTGCAATTTAATGAAGCCTTTTCTCGAACGCACCGAGGTCGTCAGTATCGCCCTAAATGAACCTGAAGAAGTTGTCGTACCAACCCCACCACTCCCATCCCCGTGCTCGCTTCCTTCTACAGAAGAGATATTAACGGGGACAACTGAAGGCGCACGGTTGAATGCACAGCAAAAGGAAGAATTAAAAGAGGTGCTAGACTCGTACAGAGCCTTGTTTAGCCCGAGTCCAGGTAAAACTAACCTGTTGCAACATGACATCGAGTTGACCTCTGATCAATCTTTCCGTACACGAGTTCGCAGAATTTCACCCCGTCATGAAAAACTGTTGAATGAATCCGTTCAAAGCATGCTGGACTTGGGTATAATTGAGCCTGGAGAAAATGATTACATCTCTCTGATGTTCATTGTCGAGAGCGCCGGTAAAGAACCGCGGCCGTGCATAGACTACCGCAACCTCAACGCGATAACCAAGACAAGTGTTCCCCATCCCGAATGTCGAGGCACTCCTTGTAAAGTGTCGACGGCGCGGCACGTGTCAACGCTAGACCTCGTGCGGGGCTATTGGCAAGTGCCTCTCACGGAGAACGCTAGTAGGCTGGCAGCTTTCATTACCCCTCTCGGAACGTTCCGCCCGCTTGTCCTTTCTTTTGGACTTCAGAACGCGCCCTTCGTTTTTTCCAAGCGAATCAGCGAAGTGCTCAAGGGTGCCGAGTCTTTCGCAGTTCCCTACCTCTATGACGTGGCTATTTTTCCAGTAGCTGGGAGCAGCACTTGCAGCACCTTTTGCGCATATCGCTGGCCCACTCACAGACGCTCTTCGCAAGGCAGAGCCAAATGTCGTGCGCTGGACCGAGGAACGTAAGAACGCCTTTCTCCGGATCAAAGAGCTTTTAGCGAGCGATCCTGCGCTGGCTTCACCAGACTACACGCGCACCTTCGCAGTGCAGTGCGACGCGAGCAACTGTGGTTTGGGCCTTGTCCTCGGTCAAGTAAACGAAAAGGACGAGGAACATCCTGGGTTGTATACGCCAGCAGAGAACTAACAACACGCGAACAGGCATACAGCACAGTAGAAAAAGGGTGTGCTTCTATGGTATGGGCTATCGAAAAACTCTCGTGCCATCTGAAAGTATCTTCATTTATTTTTGAGGCTGACCACTGCCCTCTCGTGTGGATTAATCAGATGTCGAAGAAAAATGGTCGTTTAATGAGGTGGAGCCTGGCCCTCCAATTTACTTTCACGGTGCGGCACAAGAAGGGCGAAAATCACGCCAATGCCGATTGCCTGAGCCGTATTTCTTAGTGTTACTCTAATTCTGCGAGAAAGTTCCCACATAATCTTTTTTTTTGTGCAAATTTTAGTTGGAGATTTTGCGATGTTGAGGCTTATGACTGCACTTAACTTTGTCGAAAGTGAATTGCATTGTACCGCTCCTATTGATTTCAAGGGGTCTGGCCTTGCTGGGTTGTGGCGCCGGATTGCTTCCGATGTCGTTTCTGTGCCGCTCGTCTACCAAGTCATTTCAGCTCTTCGGCTTGCTGCTATCCTGCCCGAGTTCCAAACTGCCCGGGTCCAATCCGGCTGCCCTCTTCGTTCAGCCCCAGTCCTGCCTCTTCGAAGCTTCGCAAGCACAGCAGCGTCCGCGCTTCAGCACCCTTGCCCGAGAACAAAGCGGCGTCCGCACTTCAGCACCCTGGCCTGAGTGACCCCTCCAAGACCTGGCGACTGTGGCCTTCTAGCCTGGTCACTTGCCAAGACTCGCAAGCGTACTTCTGGGAAGTCGTCGGCTACCAAGGCCTGCAGCGTGCTACATGCCTCTTTCCTACTCATCCAGGAAGCACAAACTACGTCGAGGTGAAACGGCCGCAAATCGGCTCTCGCCATTTTGGATGCTTCGACAGCTCCTACGTCTCCAGTTACTCAAGAGGCGTGATCCTGTTGATCAACTTCCGAACTGGGAAACATACCCGAGCTGTAACAATTGCGGTGCTATGCTACGCTTCGCTTCCGATAAGATTAGTTGGTGCGGCGCGATATTGCATTTCTTTCTTTTTGTCCGTTCCTGATTGGATGCAGGATCCTTAAATGCGAGCTTCCTTTTGTAATAAAGACGGATCGTTCTTCCAGCAGAGAGTCTGTCTGTTCCTTCGGTAGCCGTTCCGTCGTCGAACCGCCGGAAACGTAACAGCTTGCGCAAACCGCCGTACTTCAGGCGTCCCAGACCCGCCCCCGAGCGGCGAACATGCCGAACTCCCGCCGGGCTAGAGTGAAAAGGCGCACGGCTGGCGGTCCGAAAAAGCGGATATACCAAGATTGTCGTCCGTGTTTTCGAACCGCCAGCCTTGCGATTGTTGCATGAGTGGTAGCTGTGGCGCGCGTCCACGCTCCCAACCTGCCTCAGGTCCCCACGAAAGTGGCTGCATTGTTTTAAATGAAGCTGAGCAGGTTTCTTAGCGGAACAATATTTTCATTATTTAAAAAAAAGTTCATTTCGATTTTTTAGGTAATATTTTTACTTATCGTTAGAATTATCCTTAACAGTATGCCCTCCTGGCCGTGTAACTCACCTGCGTAAACCGCATAAGTGTAACTTTCAAGGCCTTTTTTAAAAAGATATGTAAAGTTACCAAAAAAGTTATATATTATATATATATATATCTGTCTTATCTTTGTGATAAGTCGGTTAATTCATTAAACTTCATTAATTAACCTTTTAAATAGTGAAAATAGACATATACCAGCGATCGAAGCCTTCTGGGCCTTCGCCGAGGTAATCTCTGCAAATTCATCACGGTATTCGCGAAAAAATGGCTCATCGGGTGCGGGGTAGGGGACCGTTCAAACACTTCCTTTCCTTTGCCTCGGTGCTGTGGAGAAGATAAGCTCTTCAAAACGTACCCTAAACCGGATTCCGGCTGATTATTATGAAGCATGCTGTGTTATTTGGTATCTTTCTAACAGAAAAACCTTGTTAGAATTATGCGGCACGGTGCAATTTGTTGTTCGATTGGTGAGATTTGTTGAAGTTTTTGTTGTGAGCGGGGAATAGTCACGTTTTTCGGCTATCTTGTGGGATCAAATATTTTCACCGGTTACCTCTGTAGATTGTCACGGCTGAGTGCTTAGCGGCGAGAACAAATCTGCGTAAAATGAAACAGATTTTCCAAGTATTTTCGTTCTGCCACACACGGACTCACTAAAAATAGCTGTTTTTTTGTTTGTATTTGTACCCAGAAATGGTACAATTCTTTCTTAAAAGCCCCAAGAAATTTTGTTCGCTATAAAACACACAATAAACAATAGAATGCAGCACGTTATCCGCCACCAGTGTAAGGAATTTCGCCATACCCAGAGTGCCACATCCCACTGACGAGGAAACCCACAGCTCAACGCAGTCGGGTAACACTGACGTACACTTTCAAAACCAGGGACGCGCGCTGTAATTCGCCCAGTTCGAGACTGCCGCTGGAAAGGTCTATGTATAAAAACATTTTTCCCATGATGAACTAAGAAAACGTCACAATGAAGGGAGCAGGTGTGGGAACCGAAAGGTTAAATGGTCAGCTTTTTTTTTTCCCAAATTAAGGTATGTTTTCTTTTTATTTTTCTTGAATCACCGCAAGTAATGTTTTAACATGGGCCCGTTTTACCGCTCCAGATATCGACCAAACTACCCACAGTCGGAATCCAACATCTTAGGGTTTATCTTCTTGAGAAACTCCGAACGCATTTGCTCGTTTTTGCAAGGATACTCACTGGCTGCTGGCATTCTGTAGATATTTTTTGTACGGTGTCATTAAACCATCGCGTTGCATACTTTGAAAGTCATTTTTTTCTTGTCGTTTTATTAGGCAGCACACCGTAAATTTAATAGTATTGACTTTTCTAATTTTTGTGTGTGTCTGTGTGTGGGTCCGGTGGGGAAGGGGGGAGGTTTTGTTTTCTATATGGTGTTGGACTGCCACAGCGGCGGTGACAGTAAGACAAGTGTATCGCCATGAAAGGCAACCGTCCTTGTGGAGACGGTATAGCTGCAGAGGCTTGTCACTCCGTCAGGTGCCACAGGTGACTCGTGACCGGGGACGTGCAGAAATCAAGGGTCTTTGGAGCATCTTTGTCGACGAGACGCATCTTTATACCTTCCCCTGCAAATGGTGGGAAATAAATCAGCCTCAAAAAAGCCTCTAAAATACGCTAAAGCGGCATAGCTTTAGTTCTTTCTTGATCAAAGGGAGGTTCTTAGAGATTTTACGGCGTGTGGTCTTAAAGGGAAACTGAAACAAAATTCGAGCGCCAATTTTATCGTCTGTCAGCCACCTTCTGGCCATACCACGGAGACGTCAATTTGTTGCTCAAAAAGACATCAAAGCGGTTATAACGTATAAACCGAATATCGCGACGTCATCATGCACTAGAGTAACTGTGTGCACCTTTCCAAAACCCGCTCCTAAGCCGCCGCCATGTTGCCGTTACTAATGTGGCTGGTGCGATTCTCGCGCCCTCTATCAGCTAGAAAGTTTCTGCCATTCTCTTGGACTGTGGGAACACGCTCAGCGCGATTCCCTACCAATGTTTTGCCGTTGTGCATTCGACGTTTTCTGGCCCCTCTTGAAAGTTTATGCTGCGTACCCTTTCTGTGTTATCTTCCACTGTGAGAAATAGGGCTGCTAAGTGCCTGCCATTCAAGCGTTTCTTCTCGACATTCACGGCAAACGAAGGAGAGGAAGGACGTTGAACGGCCCACGGCGCTATTTTGAGAGCAATGACGAGTGTTCTCCCCCCTCCAAGAGATAATCCGCGAAGAGTTCTCAGTCAACTCCAAAGATAGTTGTTCGGGACGGGGTAGGCAACGGGTCAGTCGCGTTCGTCCCTTTGCTTTGGTGCTGGTGTGAAAGAAGGAAGCTCTCCCTTAAACGTGCCCCAAAACGAAGTCATCTTGGATTCCGTCCGATCGTCAAGATGTGACTGTGTTATTTGAGATCTTTCTCAAATAAATTAATTTCAGATAACGCCGTATCGCGTAGAACGAACAATATATTGTTTGAATGTCCGTGTCCCGTCCACCAGTAAACATGTTATTTGTGAGCGTGAAAAATGCATGCCTTCCGGCTATCATCTATTGGAAATTTTTTTCGAGAGCTAAGCGCTTTGTCATTTGACATGCTGCCGATTGAACGGCGCCGTCAAAACGTTTCGCTAGAAAAACAAAAAACAAAAAACAACAACAACAACAAACAAACACGAGAACAAACATTCCAGTCGCATTCGTTCTGTCGAGCGTGTACCCAACAAAAAAAAAAAAAAAGATTACAGTAGTTGTTTTTTTTTTTTTTGCTTTTTTGTTTAAATTACGTAACATTGCTTTCTTAATGTCCTCGGGAAAATACATAAACCATGAAACACAAAGCACAGCGGGAAAAGACGAGAATCTATCGGCCAGTAGTCTTTGAAACAGCGCCTACGCAGGCTGCGCCTATCGAAATCGCAGTACACTTTGTTAGGATTAGTAGTGATGCTAGTTGAGTCTAGCCTCAAACCCAGTGACTGGGCTCGAAAACGGTTTGTTGCCCCTGGGGTCGAGTGTTTTTTGAAAAGGTGTTTGTACTCCGCTTGCGGGGCAGAGTACCGCAATGGTCCTCCCAGGGCGGCCATGCTAGACCCAAGGCCGCACTGCGGGAAGAAACCGTCATGTGTCACACATGACGTCACAGGTGACGTAATGTGTGACGACATTGTGGCAAACATTCCATAATGCAGCGCGCGGTTACGCCGACGACGCCGAACCCGACAGCTGATTACAAGGGTTGCCATCATGCTCGAGCCGGTAGTTGAGGTTTTCCCGTACACTCCCGAAATGGAACTTTGAGATAATTTATCTAAACTCTACACTAGGCTCACAAAAATGACACGTCGAAGTTTAGGAACACTTCCTTCACTAAAAACAGTTATAACCCTAATTTCGATCAAATATCCCGGAGTTTCCCCGTAATATAACCATTTGATCATGACCCTCAAGACTAGAGAGTACTGTTTTTTGTTATACATATACAACACGCAACTGTTTTTCAAAAGTCAACAAAAATATGTCATTGAATTTACCGCTACCTAAATAAAAGCACACACCTTAGAATTTCATCTGACGAGTCAAATATGACGTGTTTTTTTTTGCGCTAGTAGAATATTTTTATACAACGAACTTTCATTATAAAAAGTGTTCGCAACGCCCCATTGCCATTCAGTACAATAAATATTTCCGGGTGCGTTACTTAAAAAAACATTATCGTAAATGCGCTTACCAAATAACTTCCGAATGACTGCCTCCGGCATACTCCTGCAAAAAACTGATACAAAAGGTCGACCACAGGTGAGGGAGGTCACGGTGCCAGGGAGGGCTTATGTAACGTGACATAATGCTTACGAGTCAATAAAATAAAAGAGAAATGCATAAAATTTTTGAGGCACAAAAATTTGGATTAGCATAAAACTACGAGGTAGAGTCAAAAGGTAACCTCAATTTATTTTTATTTCCGTGGTAGTATTTATATCATGAAAAGCCCTTTATTACTTTTCAACATAGTTACCTCCTCGCTCGAGACATGTGTGCCAATCCTTCACCAACGCATAGAATATTGTGGCCGGCTCTGGACCCAGGATTGCACCGCCGCTTTTAGGGCATCATCTGTATCAAACGTCTTTCCTCCGAGAGCCTTTATGAGGGGCCCGAATAGCTAAACATCACTCGGTGTGAGGTCTGTCGAGTATTGTGGGTGCGGAATACACTTAAACCGTAGTCCTTTTATTTTTTCCTGCTGGTGTACGTGCCGTGTGAGGGCGCGCATTGTCATACTGCAGCAACACCCCTGAGCTGAGCAATCCACGACGCTTTGACCTGATTGCAGGAATCAAGTGGTTCTCAAGCAGGTTGCAGTATGATACACTGTTTGCAGTGAGTCCCTTGGGCATGTAATTTTTAACTATTGGGCCTTTATTGTTCGAAAAGAGCGTGAGCATTAGCTTGCCCACCATTGGCGCTGTTTCGAACTTCGTTGACTTTGGTGGCATTGCGTGTCGCCAGTCCTTGCTTCCTTGCCTTATCTCTAGTTGGGCGTAGTGTACCCAGTATTCATCACTGGTGTCAATGCGTCCAAGAAATTAATCTTCCTCAGCATCGTAGCGTTACAGTAGCGTTCCCCAAGCATCCACACGCCGTTCCTTAATGGGGCGGTGCAACGATATTTAATTGGAATGTTTTTCATTTTACACGAGCTTGCTGGCACTAGTGGGACTCAAGGATATTCGCATGCAACGCCGCTGGCCGAGAAGCTCCTTTGTTGCGGTGTAATTTCAAGGACCAAGGCGAGCGTTTTCATTCAATCCCTCCTTCACAAAACTTGATGACGTAGCTCGGCGGTCGGAGTACCGCCGAGTGACGATATTTGAATGCGGCTCATAGATTGGACCCGAGCACTGCGTGAACACTCGACTTGGGCTCGTGATAATCAATAGCTCGAGAAGCATTCGGGTAGTGGCCCGTGTCCAATTGCTGCAGAGACGACAATAGCCGAACCATAACAATGTCTGGAACTCAGCGCGTGTCCTGTGCCTTGCCAACCCCAGCGCGTGGCCATGATCAACATTGGCGGCATATAATCGGCTCCAGATCACGCGGCCGCTTATTCTGGCTGCGAGTTGAGAAGGTGAACGCTGCTCGTGTTTCTTTAATTTTTTCTGCGACTTGGATTGCGTGTGGTAAAATACGAACGAATGTTTCACAGGTCATTAACGCCAGGAATCCGTTATAAGCGGTATTCGCGCAAAGTACAAGAATCGCTGCATCGCCCTTTTAAGGTCCGGCGTAAGTTGTTTTGGAACCCACCTGGCGGATACTTTGTTATACTGCAGAATGTTATAAATGATATGGGGCGTCGAGCCGTGACTAAGATTCGATTCTTCAGCCACTTCATCGATGGTGACACGCCGGTTCCCGTGTATTCCACAGCAGAAGTTGCGTCCGGCGTCGTTGAAGCGTGAGCCCGGCCGGAGCGAGGTGCGCCTGTCAAACTGGATGCTCCACTTTGAAACTTTTCGTGCCACTCGTACACTTGCCGAAGCGATACACGGGCGTCTCCGTATTGCTTCAGTATCCTACGATAAACATCCGCAGGTTTTTCGCCCTCTGCACCCAAAAATCGGATAACCGAACGTTGCTCCTCCCTGGTGCATGCTAACAAGGGGGTGGCCATTTTGGAAGTGCTGTGGTTACGGCTAAATTGCGGTTTTGATTTTGTTTTTTTCACGGCTAGGCTAAATTGCGGTCACATTCTGACTCTGCCTCGTCTATCTGATCGAAAGAGCTGCAAAATAAAAACAAAAAACAAAAAAACACTATTTTCGCAAACGAAAAAAAAAAAAAGAAAGGAATCTGATGTGGGTCACAACCTATTATCTTGGCCAGCCCAGGCAAGCACAATGCTAGTAAAGCTTCTGAATATTTTTTTTATGAAAGTTCGCTTCTTCTTCTTCTTGTTGTGAGGTCCAGAGAAGGAAAGGGAAAGCCGGGAGAGATGTTGGCCTCCTGTACGGGGCGAGTCGCTACCCGGCTTGGGGAAGGGGGAGGAGCCGTAGGTGGCTAAAAGAGATAGTGTGGAAATTTGGAAACCAGTCCAATAATGTGATGGGGGTTTGGCACAAGTGTGGGTTTCAATTTAACAACCTTGCTGTTTGCGGTTTCTGGTATTTGATCAAAGACGGTCTGCCAAACCAGTCTCACTCAAAAAATCCAAGAGGTCTTTGTAAGCCCTCTGGACAAGCCGACGTGGGGCTTCTGGGATGAGGAGTTCCCGAGTGTTGGAGGAAGGAAGTCCGTTGAAAGTGTAGCGTTGAAACAAGGTTTTACGCTCTTCTTCGTATTCTGTGCATACTAGTAGCACGTGTTCAATGTCCTCTAGTGCTCCACAGTGTAGGCAATCAGGACTATTGACTCGTTTAAGTTTGTGCAGAGTTGACCTTGTGTTTGCGCAGTTTGCCCTCAGCCGATGTAACATTGAGGCTTGTTCTCTTGACAGCTTGCGGGGGATTGCTGGAGGGGGCCGTCCTTCAGCCGTCTCTCGGTGTGGGTGGCGCTTCTGGTAGAAATTTCGTATAA